CTTTCCCTCGTCTTAGGACTGTCTTCAGAATGGTATATCTGGCTGGCACCAGGGACTGGAAGTGAGGATTGCCCAAGCACGGCTATGGGGCAAGCATGGCCCCCCTGAGCACCTGCAATCAGCTCCCTCATTTTCAGCATGGGAGACTCTTACACTGACTTCCTGGACTCTGAAAAGCCATTACAGTGTCCCTTTGATAAAACCACCAGATCAGGGCCTGCAGGTTTGCTTAGCATCTTATCAAGTGCAGAAAGAATCATCCTGATGCTGCAAACAAATTGGCTACTTGTCCCTTCAATGCTCACCACCAGGTTCCTCTGCCCGAAATCAGTCATCATATCTCCAGCTGTGATAACAAGAGTTGTACTGAGCAGGATGTGGTCAAGCAGACCAGGAAGCTTGGACAGGAGTCTGGCTGAGAGCACATGGCAGTGCCCCCCATGTGATGAAGACTGGGATAAAGATTTGTGGGAAGAAACTAGCACTCCATTTGTCTGGGGCACAGCCAGCTTCCGTGGCAACAACACTTATGCTAGCAACACAATTATGGAACATAAGAGTAACCCGGCTTTGGGCATGCAAGTCCCCATGTCCTGCCATATGCCATGGAAAAACAACAGAAATGCACAGTAACTGAGTATCTTTCTCAAATGCCAGACCCTAGGAGACTCTTGCCTCTTCCTGCTCGAGTTCATTTTTTTCCTCCTTATCTAATTAGAGAATGATAAAAATTGTCAGTGACTTTCGAACTGACAAGTAGCTTATTTTCCCCTCCACTCTTTGAATCCTCACTAATTTGATTCAAGAACCCTCGGACTCAGAAGAATATCTTCTGAATATTCTGCTTTTGTTGAGAATCTCAGGACATCTTGCTGCCCGAATATTTCCAACATAGATTAGATGTGTTTTATCTCCCTATATTCCAGCTAGAAAATGTACAAGCTGTCAAACTAGGTGTGGGCTATGCAGTGAAGACTGGAATGAAAAAGAGGAACAAATGTACATGTAGAGAAGAGATAAGCTTTCCAACTGTGGGGGAAATCTGATTAAACTTCAAAGTTTAAATGCCCTGGGATGTAGCAAGTTTAGACTTCTGAAACACTGAAGGCTCTGGCTATCCTAACACCTTATGTTCCCTTACTAGAAGACTTTATAATCTCCCTAGACCGGTTTTTGTGGGAGTTTGTTTTATTTGTTGGGTTTTTTCCCTCTGGTGCTAGGTATTAAACCTAGGGCTTTGTGCATATTAAGCACATACAGTACCACTGAGCTCCACCTCCAGCCTTTCAAAACCATTTTTGGTTGTTTTCAGCTTTAGTTTGAAAACTGTATGGCATACAGCACACGGGGGGCTGAGGCAGGAGGATCGCCAGGAGTTTGAGGCCAGCCAGCCTGAGCTACATGAGTTCAAAGCCAGCCTGAACTGCATAGTGAGACCAACCCCCCTCAAAAAAACCAACCAACCAAAAAAAACCTACATGGCATGAAAAGAGATTTGGGATCTGGTATAGCTAGGGACTTGGATAAAGCATACTGACATATATTTCCAAAAATATTCTCTCTAGTGTTGTTTGCAGGTGGCAGACAAGAAAGGGAATGAGCGTCTGAAGAATGTCTCTTTCTGGGAGTTTTACACAAAACAAGGTCCTGTCCTACTGAAGCAGAGCTGTCTTGTTGATTTAGTTCCAAACTCTAAAAAACAAGTACAAGATAAGGCCTGATTTTCTTTCTATTTGTAGGTGTGTGGTCTTAAGCGAATGACTAGACTTTTTCTTCTGCAGAGGATGTAATACACTGGGGGAAAATAAACACCATATGCTCCCAGCTCTAACCATTTATGATTGTGCACTAATCAACATGTCACAATAACTGAACTTTCTTTTGAAGTAGTCACACTACAGGAAAATACAAAACTTTTGATTTTTGTTTTCGTAATGACAACACAACTATTCCTACTACATTTGTATTCAGGATATCCTAACTAGTTTAGGAAAAGCAAGTTAGAAGTGTGAATCCTATTTCAGTACAATTCAATAGAGAAAGCAAGTAGAAAATAGTTACCTTGTTTTTTAAGTATCTAAAGGAGCAAGGTAAGACATCTCTTTGCTTATGACTACTAGAACTCAATCACAAAACATCGAATCTTTAGGAGCGTGAGCAGCACTCACTATAGAACAGTGTCTGCCTGTTTTAATTTTGGTAGCTCACAAAATAGTCCTATTGTTTCTTTAGTTTCCTTTAGCTGCCAGTTTGTCTGGTTCGCAAACTTTAACAGACTGGTTAGGATTTTTATTGGGCCTAGGATTCACCAGTCTAGATTTAGTTTGCCAAAAATGTTTGAAGATTCCTGACAGCTAGTACAAAGAAATGGCTCTTTATCTCTACCACTTCTGTCAGAAATTGGGAGAAGCAGCTTATCTTTGGGGGCCTCTTACTTATCTTTGGGACCCTGTTTTTCAGAGGCTCCCATTCCTTTAGGAGGTGAACAATACAAAGTAAAAAGTTGAATATCCTGCCTCAATTTTGGTTAAAGTCAAGTGTTATGGTTAAAGGTGGAAGCAGTTTCAAAAGCTTAGCTTCAAAGAGCTAGGTTTTACATTTGGTCTTATCTGGGGCTTCCACATTCCACCCAAAGGAAAGGATTCGCTTTTTTAGGGTTCTAGAAGTGCCACTGTGATTTGCAAATGTTCCCACCGGAAATAAAGAAATGTAGATGATAAGTGATGCTTCGCTCCCCTGGTAGCTGTACCTGAGCTAAAAAGGGGGAATATTTGAACTTAATTTCAAATAATGCATTGTAGTACTCTTTCATTGGTGAGGTAGAATAGTAGCTGCTTCTGTTGGTCTCTCAGACAAAATATATTCAGTATATATTATCCTAGCACTCTTGGAGTCCTTTGGTTGTTTTTTTCACAATTCATATTAAGCTCCAGAAGAGGCAAAAAGAACATTTTACTTTTTTAAAGGGGCAGATTATAGTGGTACATACCTGTAATCTTAGTGAAAGGGAATTTCTAGGCAGATTGACATATTTCTAACAAAAAAATAACCAAATTGGGCAACTATGAGTTAACTGTGTTATTAAGCAACTATGGGTTAACTAGGTAGCTATGCTCTTTGTAGAATGTACCTGAGTAGCCATGACAATTTCTGTAATTTGTCACCACAGGAGCATAACGAACTCAAAAAGTCCTGCTAGCACTCTGATCTGCCCCCTCCACTGGCTGCTCTGCTTTGTGTAAACTCTGCTTCTGTACCTCCTGCTGTCAACCCTATAAAACTGCCTGCCCGCTGATATTCTGGGCCTGACTTCTTTGGGAGCGATCCCAGTCATGTCCATCAATGCAATAAAAGAGTTGTACACTGCCCCCTGCCTCCCTGGGTGTCTTCCTTTCCCAGATTCAGTTTGCTACAACATTAGCACTCAGGAGGCAGAGACAGAAGAATCATCTCGAGTTCAAGGCCAGCCTGAACTAAAAAGTGAGACCCTGTCTCACCTCTCCCCAAAATACATAAATAAAACAAAGGCAGATTATTCGAATCAAGGCAATCTATAGCTGGGTGTGGTGGTACATGCCTCTAATCCCAGCACTCTGGGAAGCTAAAGCAGGAGGATCACAAATTCTAGGCCAGCCTTGACAACTCAGCAACTTGGGGAGACCCTGTCTCAAAAAAGGGCTGGAGACGTAGCTCAGTACAAAGGCCCTGGGTTCAGTTCCGGTTACCACATGCATGCACGCACGCGCGCACACACACACACACACACACACACACACACACAGGGGCAATTTGTATACTATGTATTTTTGGTTTTGGTGGTGTTTTTTGTTTTATTATTTGCTTTTGAACTAAGTATTGAACCCAAGGCTTCACACACATGCAAGCCAGGCACTGTACCACTGAGCTACACTCCTATTTGTATATCCTATATTTTAAATTATCAAAGCTAGTCTGGCCTTAGGAAGAAGAGATCTTTTTTTTTTTTTTTCTTTTGTACCGGGGATCGAACTTGGGTCCTTGTGCTTGCGCAGCAGACGACGAAACCACTGAGCTAAATCCCCGGCCCTAAGAAGAAGAGATCTTTAAGAAAATACAAATTTTATATGCCAATTCAATGAGTAGAATAAGGAAAAAACTACCTAAATTCCACGAGAAAAATACTGCAGCAACAATACTTACTCATTTTCTTGATCACTCTCTTCCTGATACTGTTGAGGTTCAGGGACATTCACACCCTGTTTTACAGAGTGGCCTCTCCAGAGACCACCGAGGACATGTCAAACTGTCACCTCATACAAAGTCTCAGCTGGCTTTCTATTCCAGCCACACTGAGATCTGATCAACAGAAACCTGCGTATGAACAGGGCATTTACCTTTTACACAGCAATTCTGTCTCATTTAACTCATAAACTTAGTAACTGGTAAGACAACTGTAGATTTGTTTACCGCTAGGAAGAACAGCACTCTAAGGCACACAATAACCCCAGAGAACAGGTATTTGGTTAGCAGATCTGTATTTGTGTTTACCTTATTTTTTTTTTTTTTGGTACTGGGGATCGAACTCGGGTCCTTGCCCTTACCCAGCAGGCAGCGAAACCACTGAGCTAAATCCCCGGCCCTGTGTTTACCTTATTGAAAGAGTTTTGCCAGGTTTGCATGTGGTGGCACAAGCCGATAATCCCAGTACTTGAGAGGCTGAGGCAGGAGGATCCCTGGGAGTTCAAGACCAGCCTGGGCTACATAGTGAATTCAAGGCCAGCCTGAACTACATGGCAAGACCCTGTGTCCAAACAACAACAACAACAGTTTTAAAACAGCTGTGATAGCACATGCCTATAATCTCAGCTATTCAGGAAGCTGAGGCAATAGAATCACAAGTTCAAAGCCAGCCTGGCAAATTTATCAAGACCCTGACTCAAAATAAAAAAAAAAAAAAGGGTCGGGCATGTAACTCAGTGAGAAGACCCTTAGAGTTCAATCCCCAGTACCACAAAAATAAATACTGCTTCATATGAAACTAAAATAGTGTAAGAGACTTTGAGGAAACTTGAAGAAAATTTACATACATACATATATATGATATGAAATATATCCAGGTTGTATGAAAAACTTCTGCTTATGAGCCCAACCATGCCTCCTAATCGTCATTAAAATACCTGCCACTAAAATAAAGTATGCTTTTTCAAGTTAAAAAAACAAAGAATGGCATATCTGAGTTTTTTTTTAACAAGCACAAAAGGTTGTACAAATGCAAGTTATCCTTTGCGGTACATATTGCTAGGGGAACATCCATTTACAATTATAAGCACACCCACTTGCTATGGTACCACTGCTCCCCGCATTCATTACAAATCACATAGGTCATCATTTGTTCATCTGGGTTTGAATTCCGCACCCAGCTTGGAAGGAAAAGTGTCCCTCTGGCAATCGCAGTGACTTTGCAATTGTACTTCTCACAGCGTCTGCATTTGATTTTATTTGTCTGTGTGCCATCAGTCACTTGGGGAAGGTAATGGTCCTGGATACAGGATTGCGTGTAGGCAGCTCTCAGCTGCTTCAGTTCCTTGTTTGCCATCTCCATGGTGGTCATTTCGGCAAATTCTTTTGGAGACATGGTCCTGGAGAGCAAGTTTTGTTGCAAGTGACAATTTCTAGGGTTCTTCAAATTGGCAACTTTGCTTCTGATACAAGTTTTGTACTTTTTGATGTTCTTTGAGTAAAGGGTAAAAATGTGCTCTTCGATTTCTCTTGCAAAGTTCTGCCACAAATCAGCATTTGCCTGATCTGTGGAATAACTAGTTAAAGCAGAATAAAGAAGCTCGATGCATTTGGTTCTCATGGGCACTGTGGGATCCTGCAACTCACTTGATCCACTGCTGGAGGATTTAGGGTCACCAGCCCCAAAATGCTCTTCCTTAAGGTCCATTTGAACAGTGCCATTTTCAGGCATGATCATTTCGGTGCGGGTTGCAATATCCTGGGGTGAGTATGTTGGCAGGGAATTAGAGCTGCAGGTGCCCACGATCTCATCTTGACTTTGGTCATGAGAAACTCCTGCGTCTTCCTTACTACCACCTGGAGAGGATAATTTAGAGAGGTCCCTTGTTTTGAAGTGAGTATCCTTATAAAGAGCTTTCCACCTTGACAGCAAACACTTGGCTTTCTTTTTCAAAGCCACCGAGGGACAGTTCTTCAGGACTCTGTACACAGCTCTGACCACATCGGTCTCCTGCAGATGCTCCTTAGTCACATAAATCATTTCTAGCTCAGTAAGATGGTTGCCAAGGTCCTTAAAATTCCTTGTAGACATCAGCTGCTCAATAAGGGAAGCGCTGGCAGCTGTGTGGTTTCTGTCAGACATCTTTTCAGCTGCAAAGAAACAAAGAAGTTTCCATTTTTTTAAGCTCACTTTTGCTAGTCACAGCTCCTGGAGAGTGAAAGGGCATTTTCGGGCAGTTATTCATACACTGTTTTCTGAAGGAGTAATGTAATGGAAGTGGGTGTGACATGTCACAGAATGGAATCTGAGATGTGGAATGATAAGACTTTCATTCCCAGTAGCTGAAGAAAAAAAAAACAACAAAAAACGGCATTACAAAGCATTTTGACATTAAGAGTCTTACTGGTCGAGCATCTCTTTTTCTAACTCCAGTTGTACAAATCAATGTCCTTCTAGATCAAGATTAGTCAACTCATTTGGGTGGAACTTGATGGTCATGTTGGGGATGAAATCATGCCGTGTCAGCATCAATATGATAATGCTGAGCAACGCTGGGTTGTTTTTTCCCTCATATTCTGCAATATAACTGAAATACTTGCTGATTTTATAACCTTGAGAATGGTACTTTTCTGCAATGAAAGAAGAAAAATCAAGAGGAAAGAAGGATGCAAATGTCTCAAGGAATCTAAAGAAGTTTTAAGAAAGCACAGGATGGGAAGCAGCTGAAGCTAGGTGTGGTGGGCCCCAAAAGTCCACAGGCTGCACTGTGTGGACAGCTGAGTCGTCTCAACAGCAGGGCAAACAATGCAGACGATGTATGACTCTGGACTGACTGGTTTTCACATGGGGTGGTTTTTGTTTTTGTTTTGCAGTGCTAGGCATTGAGCTCAGGGCCTTCACATTGAGCTATATCCCCAGTCTATGTTTTACTTATTTATTTATTTATTTATTTTTTGAGGCAGGGTCTAAGTCACTGAGTTGCACAGGATGGGCTTGAACTTGGGATCCTCCTGGCTCAGCCCAGCTCCTACAGTTTTGTTTTTTAAAATAACTTTTAAGTACAAGAAGTTGCTAGATGATTATGTCTACATGAATCTCATCCCAGGCAGGCAAATATTTACTTTATCTAACCTCCACCTAATGTACCTTGTCTAGCTAAAAGCCCTCGTTATATTTATCTGTCTGGTCTAAATATAAACACAAACATCCTGATGGCAGGGACTTGATCTTTTCAATTCCATGGGCTCCATTTCATATTAAATAATCACTGAACATATGCAGGATAACAACACTGGAGTCATTACAGAAAAAATTAATGCACTCTCCCTAGAAACCATCTGACGATTGCCCTAAAGTGAAATGTACCTTTAGTCAGTAATTTTACTTCGATAAAATTACATCAAGGAAATGAGAAATGTGGAGAATGTATATGCAAGAATTTTCTTCAAACTCAGAAAAAAATTAGAAGGCCACAAGATAGGAGAATGGTTAAAAATATAGCACAACCTTAGGATGATACAATAATGTAACAATTTAAAATTATATTTTTAGAGAATGACATGGGAAAACAGTCATAATGTTATGTGAAAAAAATGAGGATGGAGAATTAAGTAGATACCAGATTCAACACTGACTTACCATATGATCCAATGGATCTACTCAAGAGAAATGAAAACATATGTCCATACAAAACCTTTTCTACAATCATAGCAGTATTACTCATAATGGCCAAAAAATGGAAAAGCCCTAAATGTCCATCAACTCTTTAGTAAATAAGTGAAATGTAGTATATCCATATAATAGAATATTTTTAGTCAAAAAGAAATGAAGTACTGATTCATGGTACAACACGGATAAACCTTGAGGACATTATGGTAAGTGAAAGAGGCCAGACACAAAAACACCACATATTGTATGATTTCTATGAAACATCCAGAATAAGCAGATGTATAGAGACAGAAAGAAATAGTGGTTGACTAGGTATGGCTGGGAGACAAGGGCAGGGAGTGAAATGGAGGGGGTGTGGCTGCTAAGGGGTACAGGGCTTTTGTTGGGGAACGGTGGCAAAAATCCCAAGTTGATTGTGGTAATGGGTTATACAACTGTGAACATACTAAGAACCACCTGAATGGGTGATTGCTGGGCATGGTGGCACACCTGTCATCCCAGCAGTAAGGAGGCCGAGGCAGGAGGGTTGTCAGAAGTTCGAGGCCAGCTCGGGCTACATAGTGAGTTCAAGGGCAACTTGGAAGACATAGTGAGACACTGTCTCCAAACACAGAACCAAGTAAATAAATAAATAAATGGGTCACATCAACAAATGACTGGATAAACAAAATGTGGCATCTATATATAATGGAATACTACTCGGCTATAAAGAATGACAAATTTGAGACATTTGTAGGAAAAGGGATGCACCCAGAAAATATAATGTTGCGTGAAATAAACCAGACAAACAAGCTTAAATACTGGATGGTAACTCTCATTTGAGTGAGGCAAAGTTCAAAGAAAATGATAAAGGATGCCTACACAGGGACAAGGGGATGGATCTCTTGCAATAGGGAAGTGGTCTAAAGGAACAAGGACAAGGGGTGAGGAGGAGGGGGAAGGGGAAATAGGTAGAATAAAGAACAGGAACCTAGGAATCCCAATTAATGTAAACACTATACATCATGATATGAGTGAAGACAAATAATATCAACAAGCATGAAAAAGGGAAGAGGGGAACTGGTGGGGGAGGAAGAGGGACGGTGAAAGAGATTCAAAAAAAAGGAAACAAGTTGTAATATATACATGTAACCACTCCCAAGATGATTGTAAACTGCATGAATTGCAAAATGTACTAAGAAAAATAAATTTTTAAAAATTAAAAACAAAAGAAAAAATTTTAATTCTATCAGAATCACACAGAGGGTCCTATGTTGTGTAAATATGATGAAACTAGTATGTAACAATAAAAACTATGGTTGTATTAAAAAATAAAATAAATAAATGAGTGACTTGTGTAGTATATGAATTACATCTGAATAAAGGTATTAGAATCACATGTGAAAAGGATAGAGATACACAAAAGTTTAAAGAGTGGCATTTTCTGAATGGTAAGAGTTTGGGTGATTTTTATTTGTTCTTCTATTTTCTGTGATGAGCATGCATGTAATTTCACTTATGAATGACATACATTGGAAATACCTGCCTATTGAAAAACAGTACTGGAAGGAGATTGGTCAACCCTCTCTGGAAGGAGAATATGGTCTCTTAAAGGTAGTCACAGCTGGGCCAGGGATTTAGCTCAGTGGTTCCACTGCCTGCCTCACAAGCGCAAGGTCCCAAGTTCGATCCCTGGTACCAAAAAAAAAAAAATGGTGGTTACAGCACCTGCCACTTCTGAATCTCAAATAGCTGCATGTCTCCTTAAACTCTGTCCCCAAAGAAAGAGGTTAAGCAGCCCTGGCCACAACTATGAGCTTCCCTCCCTCTGTCCTTTCCCTGCAGGTATAGTTTACCAATGAGAGTCTGTGTCTTGCAAAGTTTTACACCGCTATGGAGAAAACCTGAGTAGTTGTTCTTTTGTTTTTTAAAGCCAGTTTAACAGTCACTCAGTGCACCATCAATTCAGGATCTTCAGAAATTTTCCTAATTACTGAGAATGGATACTTAAAGATAATACTTTTTCCTTTTGAAAATTCTATTTTCAGAGACTGCAAATAGTAAAAGAAGTCTTCCTAAGAACCAAAGGCTTGATAACAAAAAACAGGCAGAATAGCACAGAAAAATAAAAACACACCTGCTCGATAGCAGAGCATTTCTCTAAGTGGCAGCTTCAGATACTGGAGAAGTCAAGCAGTCGCACCACGTGACAGGTTTCAAACTGCTCGGGACACTTGGCCCCACCCGACAGAGTGACATTCACCCATGCTCTGGCATCGCTACTGAAGAAATCATGAGGTCTGCAGCATCTCAGACAGGGGCCAGTAAGGGACAGGCTAGACGCCCACACGGTGACTGATATTTGACTTGGGTCAGAATTTCTCAGCTGAGGGCCACAGCATCTGAAGGGAGATTCTAACTGCAGCTTCAGGGCTTCAGGGCTATGAAAGCAGCACTTTATCTTACCAGCAAAACTTTCACGTTATTGTACTTATATAAATTTACAGAAGTTAATGTATTCATGTGTAAACAACCAAAAAGCACTTTGCCGTCTTCCTTCCTTCCTTCCTTCCTTCCTTCCTTCCCTTCCTTCCTTCCTTTCCTTCCTTCCACGTTGACGGTGGAACCCAGGGCTGTCCACAAGCTAGGCAAGTGCTCTACCACTGAGCTACACCCCAGCTCTCATATGTTTTATTTGCCTTTTCTTCGTATTTAAAAATTTTAACCATGGTAAAATATATAAAACATGAAAGTTACCACTTTAACCCTTTTTGGGTGTAGAGCTCAGCAGGGTTAAGCACATTTGCATTGCTTTGCAGCATCTCTGCAACTTTTCATCCCACAGAGCTGAACTTCGTGCCCATCAAATGACAACTTCCTGTTCCCTGCCCCAGAAATCACCATTCTACTTTCTCTTGGACCTCATGGAAGTGGAATCATATAGTGCCTCTCCTTACTTTTTTTTTTTTAGTGTCTCTCCTTTTGTGTCTGGCTTATTCTATTTCACATGCCATCCTCAGGGCTCATCCATGTTGTACCATGTGTCCAAATTTCCTTCCTTCTTAAGGCTAAGCAACACTCCCCTTCGTGTTCGGGCCACAGTCTGTTTATCCATTCATCTGCTGACAGGCATTTCTGTTACTTCTGCCTTTGGGCTGCCGTGAACATGGGTGTACAACTATCCTCTCAAGTCCCTGCTTTCAATTCTGTTGAGTATATACCAGAAGTGGAACTGTCGGATCATATGCTAATTCTATTTATAAGATTCTGAAGATTCCCCATACTGCTTTTGCCATTCTTTTCCAGTTTTCACAGCACTTAAATCTTTTCAAACTTTCTATTCTCCTTGTGGAATAACCACATGGATATAAAGTACTTACTGCCTAAAAAATTGTAACAGGGAAACCAATGGGACACAAAATCCTGAGAACTGCCATCCAAGGACAAAGTAAGCTGCATGTCCATTTTAGTTTTCATAATTCACTCCACAAATATTTATCAAGTAGCTAGAATGTTCTGGGGACCGAAGCTAAAGAGTCTTGGCCTCGAAGGAGCTGACAGCCTTGTGAGTATAACAATAAGAAACTGGCCAATCATAGCACATAGGTGGTGGATTCCTAACTGTGCTTGGGCTCTCCACCATCTGGCCAGTTGCAACTGCTTCTTTACTCCCTTCACCCTGATTGCTGGTGCTCTGTCAGAGGGACTATCCTCCGGTACAGAACTCCGTAGACAGTCTCTCCTTGTTCTGCTTAAAGCCCTTCAGGGCCAGGGATTTAGCTCAGCGGCACAGCGCCAGCCTGGCAAGCACCTGCCTGGCAAGCGAGAGGTCCTGAGTTTGATCCCCGGTACAAACAAACAACAACAACAAAACAAAGGCCTTCAAAGTGCCCCTCTGCTTGCAGGATGGAGCCCAAGCTCCTCAGCCAGGTGACAAAAAGTGCCCCACGACTCTTGCACAACTACTCTCAACCACAGATGGGCACTGCCCATTTCACAGCTCTCTGGTTTTGCTCCAGCTGGTCCCTGAGTCAGTCTGTCTGTGTGCCTCTGTCTGTCTCTTCCTGCCTCTCTGTTTCTGTCTCTCTCCCCAGGGCTGGTTCTCAATCCTGCTGGTACATTAGAATCATCTGGGGTTAAAATAAACAGTAAGAAAGTAAAACGATGCCAAAGCCTCATTAGATAAAATGAAGTAGAAATTCTGAGGGTAGGGCCTGTGTATGTGTTCAGCTCTTCAGGTGATTGATTTACAGGGCTGGTTCTCAATCCTGCTGGTACATTAGAATCATCTGGGGTTAAAATAAACAATAAGAAAGTAAAACGATGCCAAAGCCTCATTAGATAAAATGAAGTAGAAATTCTGAGGGTAGGGCCTGTGTATATGTTCAGCTCTTCAGCTGATTGATTTACACTACACACACGCTCAACCCCACTGCCCCCAGAGCACAGCCGGGCCTCCCAGACAGGCTGCATTGGGCCCAAAGACATTGGCACTCCCATTCCTTAAGCAAATGTACAGAACCTCTCTGACTTTAGATTTTGCTGAGTCTTAACTAAATCAGAAAGTACTCAAAGCATTACCCTGTACCACCCACCTGAGAAACTCTACAAATTACAACTGGCGACTGTAATGATTCAAGTGTCATAATGTTTACAATTCTTGAGATCCACTCGCTTGCTTACCTCTTAACAGCAGTATTGAGCAAGTCTACGTGCCATATACACTCATGTCATCTCCATCCGCACAAGCCCAAGATAGTTATACAGCTTATCTCCAAGCCTGCAAGTGAGAGAAACCTGTTAAAATATTAAATAATTGCACGGTGCTTTTTCCACAGTGTCTACCACATTTGAAAAACATTTTGTGTGTGCCTTCCCCACAAGACCATAAGGGAATAAGCACATCTGTTTTATTCACCATACATACCTGGCAAACACCTGGCCAGTGCTTACTATTACTTAACTAATATTTTCTTTTGTTAAACAAGTAGCAAGCATCCAGAATGTGCTTTTCTCTCTGCTGTGAGCTTCACTGCTTCACACTACAGATCGGCTTGCTTATGCTCACTGCACTTAAGCCCAGTGCCACTCAGCTTCTTCCTTGGGAGGCCAAGCCCATCTCAATTCTAATTCTAAAAATCTGAGATCAAAGCAAACCATGGTGTCCACTGTGGGCTAAGCAAGTGGGTCTGAGAAGTCAAGCCTTTTGGATAAGCGGGGTGTGTGCGTGTGTGTGTGTGAGAAAAGTTCCCAGAAGTGAAGGGAGGTAAGCAAGTTAGCTAAGTTTCTTAATCACCATGTGCCTCTATTTCCTCATCTACAAAATGAGGAATATCCAGGATCCTAGGACTAGTATGAGAACTAAATGAGACAGTCATTATAAAGTGCTTAGAGCTATGCATGTCACATAGCAAGCCTGATTCACAATTAGACGGGTCTACAAATAAAAGGTTTAAAAAGATCTACTATTCCAAAGAGGGGGTGTGAACATCTGTAAAAGGTCAGACTGAATATTTTAGGCTCTTCAGGCCATACAAACTCTGCATGGACTTTCAACTCTGTTGCTCTTGGGAGTAGGAATAGCAGACAAAGAAAACACATAAATGAATGGGCATGACTTGGTTCTAAGAAAACTTGTTTACAAACACAGGCAGGCGGTAGGCCAGTTTGCTGATCCTTTTCTAGATCAGTGTTATCTCAGAGAAATAGAATAAGTCACAAATACAAAATTTTCCAATAGACAAGTTAAAAACAAAAATAGATGAAAATAATTACAGTAATTATATAATACAATATCACAATATCTGTATTATTACATCGTATGTTATATAATTAATTTTAGAATAAGTATAAATGTATATATTTATACATTTAATATATATTTGTAAATATATAAACATAAAATATATTTATATTTATAAGTATAAAATATATATTTAAATATATCAATATATAAATAAATATACTTGATATATTTATGGAAATATAAATATATTATATATAGCTAATAATTATTATATGTTATGGTAAGCCAGCACATCCAAAATACTGTCTTTTCTTTCTCCTTTTATCAATATAGTGCTGGGGCTTTAACAAGGGACTAAGCATGTACTCTTACCACTGAACTACACCCCCCTGGCCCTCGATATTGTCTTTTTAACATGTAATAGATATAAACAAACTGAGGGGTTTTTTTTTATTAATTTCCCACAAATTGCTGCACTTACAGGTCATCTCAGGTCTAATCACATTTTCAGCGTTCAAGGTTTATGGAACCAGTAGTAGCTACCTTATTGGACAGCAGTTTTAGAACATATCCTAAAATGGATAATGCTCAGATATACACCTATACCTCTAAGTGCTGAATATATATTAAAAAACAAACTTTTTACAGTGCCAGCAAGAGTAGGTCCTAAATATTTGCTGAGTGCATATAAAAGCTTGTCAATAAAAACTAATTTACGGGTAAGATCTGCATCAAAATAGCCTAAACCCTGAGAAACATGAAAAGATCTAGGTGAAAATTTCCTAAACTGGTAACCAGATTTGTTTAACTCTCTAAAAGAGTTAGAGAAAATTTTAACTTTATAGCCTGATCACCCACCAAACTCTCCAGCTTCATAAGAAGTCCCTTCTACAGAAAAAAATGACGCCCGGTGGTGGCAGGGCGTTGCAGCAACACCTCGCTAGGATCCTTCCCCAGAACGACGATCCCTAGCAGAGCTGCAGCAAGGAGAAGAACAGCTCACGACCCCACCCGGGCAGGGGGACTGGTTCCGGTGGGCGGGGCCGAGTACCCCAGCAAAGCTTGGCGCTCACCGTGCCGGAGTGACGGCCCGGAAGCCAGCACTGGACAGCGGCGGCCTGAAAAGGGCTGCCCACATCGGCGAACTCGGCTGGAGGGGAGGAAGGTGCAGGATAGGGCCTAACCGCCCACGGCGCGCCGGAGAGCCTCCGCGAGCGGGGTTGGCCTTAACTGGAAACGGGCGAACCCTTCCGTGAAACACAAGCCTGGAGCATAGCTCAGCGAAACGCGCAGACGCAACCAGGGAGTCGTCAACCCCTCCCGGTCCAGAGAGAACTTCCGGTTCCCAGGGCTAGAACCGTCAACCAATCCAAGCTTCCGAGCCGAGAACACAAGCCTGGGACCCGAGCATGCGTACTAGGGAAATGGCGCCTGCGCAGAACGGTCCCTCTGCGGTTTGCCTGAGGGAGGGGCTGTGGGACACGTGGGCCAGGAATGAAACCAAGTCGGCTACTGTTCTTTTTATTTAGCAGCGTAGTTAAACTACCGTCCAGTTTACCCTTTCTGCTTTCTATCAAGACATTTGTGACCGTGCTTAGCTAGTTTTTGAAATAACTGTGGACATAACAGTAATCCAACAAGTATTTATTTCATAGTCTCATACATCAGTTGCTGAAAGTAGTAAATATTAAGTAGTCAGGCGCATCCTGAACGTCTCACCTATGCACGTCCTTTGCCTGCAAGGGGTCACAGTGAACCAGAGAATGTGATAGTCTCCTTTGCTGATCCCCTGCTCCAAAATAATGTAGGGAAAGCTTTAAGGAAGCCGAGTGTTCTGGTGTGGATGCTGCGTGATTCTGTGATTGAGTAGTGTGATAAATCTTACCTAGAACGAGGGAGGACAAGACCAGTGACTCACAATGGTCATGGTAGGGGATGTTTGATCATATTTTTGTGTGGTTTGGACAATATTTATATTTTTGTCGGTATCATGGCATGATTACAAAGGAGTCTTGTTTTCTCATGATCCGTCACTGTCAAAGAGTAGCTTTATGTGATGCTGACGTTCTGGGAAATTATTTATGTTCCACACAAAAGCACCAATGTCCCGTTGTGAATGCTCAACCAGCTTGGAACTGTCAGGGGTTGCTTTTCTCTTTCTCTGTGGCCTTTAAACAATTACAGGGATAAAATGTTTGCTATTGTAAACTTTAATGCAATTTCACTTAAGGGCAATATCTTGTTAAAGGAAAAATATATACCATGATGTTTGTTAAAACATGGTAAGGAAGATTTTATTTAGGACCATCACCATAGATATCAGGAGCACTGTGACAGGGTCTTGCATTGAGGGAGAGAGACTGGGCTCAACTCCAAATATAGCATTGGCAAATAGGAATTTATAGCCAAGGAATGGGGTTGGGGCTGTGGATAGAGAACTGCTGAAGGGAAACGTCACAGATAAGGGGGATTCTGGCTAAAGAGACCTAATAGGATTCTTGGTGAAGACAGGCCAGGATCAGGCAACATCTGAGGGTGAGAGGTTTGTTTTTTTGGTTTGTTTTGTGTTGATGGGCTTTTATTTTTCCTTATGTCTTCATGTCCTCCAGGAAACCCTCCTGATTACCTGCACCATGGCTTCAGACCTAGTTTCCTGACACCTGACAAATCTAACCTAACCTATGTGGGAGCTGCCTGTTAGGGTTAGACTGCCTTCTCTACTGTTCCAGCTGGTTCATCAGTTAGCATACTAACTTAGTGGGGCTCTTTGCTGAAACTTGGTCTCGAAAGGAAGTGCACAGATAGCTCCAGGAAAAGTTTTAGAAGCTTGACTAAAATTTGACCAACAAAGAATCTTTGTCTACTTTTACTTTTGACTGTTAAAAGAAAAACGTCAGACAATTTAATTTAGCAGAATTTATTTGAGCAAAAAACAATTTGTGAATTGGGCATTGCTCAGAGAACCGGAAAAGGTTCAGGTAGCTCCATAAGCAGTATTTCTAGATAATGGGAGTAAACTACTGTACAGAAACAGGTTGATTGGTTGCAGCTCCACATTTGCCTTATTTGGATATAGTTTGATCAGTTGGCAGACTGTGATTGGCTGAAGCTTGGCTACTTATGTTTGGCTGAGACATATTTATTTTATGTGTAGGTTAGGTTTTCAGGTTGTTTATGTGCTAGGTTAGGTTAGTGTTCATTATGAAGGAGCTCAAAGTACAGACACAGCCTCAGGTTGGTAGCTTCCTGCTTATTTAATTTAACAAGACTTAATGGTATTTCTCTTTTTTCCCCATTGTCACTTTTTGGGTTCATTTTCTGAGTACTCTCGCCCTCCTTTGGAAACACCCATTTAAAATACATAACACTATAGGTCTTCAGATCAACAAGCTCCGGTTTTAAACAGTGACCTAGGGAGAATACTTCCTTTGTGATTAGACTTGTAACATTCAATTCTTCAAATATCTAATATTTGTCAAAACAATTGTGCTGGGCTAGGGTTGTGGCTCAGTTGTTAAATGTTTGCTTAGCATGCATGAGGCCCTAGATTCAATCCTCAGCACCAGAAAGAACAAAAACAAACAAAAAACAAAAAGAAAATTGTACTATAAAGGACTCAACCTGAAGGGGTTAGTTTATAAACCACAAGTCACTTTAGATACTGTTAGTGCTGCTTTGAGGGGCATTATAACCAATTTCTCATGAACTCTGTCCTGAGGAGGGGAAAACGAAATTAATCAACTGGGAAGCTGAGACAGGAGAAGCATAAGTTCAAGCCCAGCCTCAGCAATTTACTGGTTTGGCAAGACCCTACCTCAAAAATAAAAAATTAAAAGTAGGGGCCAGGGATGTAGCTGACTATGAAGGCTCTGGGTTCAATCTCTGGTACTGAAAAGAAAGTAGTCAAAATTCTGAAAAACAAAAATGAGTCAGGATCCAGGTTTTCCTCTCATGTGAAGGAAAAGCATTATGTGACATAAGAGGTAAATTATGCTTACTGTGTAGTCCCTCCTTGTCCACTACAGTTGCCTAT